TATAGATGCAGATGTAGATATAGATATGGGTGGTATTGTACAAGGACTCCTTTGTTTTACTTCCTCCATTCAAAAAAAGATAAGTTTATTCCTTTAAATCACAAAGAAGGGGAGAGAAAAGAATGCACTCAGGATGTGTACTTGGATTTTCACATCATGAATGCCATAATGGAGCCTTTAGTTTCACATGAATATTCTCCTAAGATTTGTACTTGAGAAACTATTTTTTAGAATAGTTTTGCTTCTTTGCTTCTTCTAGAAACCTTTATTTTCTCCTCATTTTCTGGCAGGCTTTGTGAAGTAAAGAAGGTCATCTTTTTCCCAAATAGAGGAATTAAATCTGTTTGAGCCAAGAACTTGAAAAATCAATTATAAATTATTAAATGGTCTCAATATTGATTTATGTGCCTCCTGCACTGTACCATGGGTGGCTTTAGTAGAGGCTGGCAGGAATGGCTGCTTTTTTCTACTCATTTCTATTTAATTGAATTAATATAAATTTATATCAATTTTTGTATTTATATTGACCAAGTGCAGTGGCTTCCCCAGATCAATAGTACCTCAAAACAAAATCCTGAGGATACAGCTACTAGGTAGTAATTTTCTGGTCTGCCGAGAGAATTCTGGTAATGACTCCCAGAGAGAAACACAGAAAAAAATTGTATGAAGTGATGCATAATGAAATATAAATATGCAGAATTAGAAGATCAATATAGATGATATGTATATATTATAATACTATAATTAAAACATTATTATAATCATATTATAACAATACAAATGAAAAAAGAAAGCTGAAAGTTGAGTAACTGTAATAATAAATCTGAGCCCTAGAAAGCAGATGATAAAATATAACTCTCACTATTCAGCAGAGAGGTGAGCACCTGTGGGACAGAATGGTATATACATTGTCAGATGCCATAACTGTATCAATTAGTTCTGCTTAGGGAGTTTTTCATTGTTACAAAGGAGGTTTCAATTCTCACGTGGCAGGGGGAGGGGAGGAAGTGCCTAGAAGAGAAGGAAGTATCTTGAAATGACTGTTATAAAAAACAAAAGGCATTGATAAAACTTATTTAAAAGCACTTCCTTGCATTTCTTAGTGTGTTTGATGTTTTTCCAGGTTGTTATAAATCATTTATAGAAGTTGTCCACCACTTTTAGAGTCAGAGAATGAGGAATTCTTAAAGAAACTTATATGAAACATTGCTAAAACCACCCATACACTGGGTATTCATCATTCCATCATCTGGGTTTGCTACAAACAAAGAAAAACCACAAACAAAAAGGCAAAGGGCAATTCCAACGGAAGAAACATCCCATGGATTTTTTTCTTTTGCTTCACCAATTTAACTTACTATGAAAAGAAGGCTTATGAAACCACTGGGTCTATGTGTGTGTCCCCCCTCCCCAGTCTTTCTAGGCCATCACAATCTGATAAAATTGCCTTGGCAAGGGTAAAAGGAAAAGTTGCTGCTTCCTGGACATCTGGGCTATTTATTTTCCTCCCTTCTACTTAATAAGTAACCAGATTTCATCACTTTTTTTTGTCTCATACAGTGTATACTGACTCTTATCCTGTGCCCAATCTACCAGACCCCACTATTGCCTCTTGTGTGGCTATGTTAGGGACATCTGGACATTATCTGACATTCATTAATGATACAGTGTGGCTCATAAGATGAAACTAAGGGCTGACCTAGAATCCTATCAATGGAAGCAGTCCCAGAAGGCAATTTCATGAGTGGACCACCAGGCCAAACCTTTGTTAGCTCTTTTTAGGCTTCATAATTCAAAGGGGAAAGTCACACTCCTCCCTCCATATACCTTTAATGCTTATGTAGGCAGTAGTTTTAATTTAAAAAATCAAATTTGGAAAGCTAAGAAAATAATAGTTAATTCAGGACTTTTTAAATGAAAGGCAAAAAACCATGAGAAAAACATGAACATTTATATTTCATCATTATTTTGTTTAGACATTTCCATTCAATCCAATAAACATTTATTGTCCACTGTATGCAAGGCACTTTTCCAGTTGCCAAGGATACAAAAATTGACAAATCACAATTCTTGCCTTGAAGGGCAAAAAAAATATCTAACCAGGGGAAGAAAGAAGAAATTGTGCACACAAAAAACTAGGATTCAAGGAACAAGGTAATAAGTATGGTCCGGGGTTTTTGACAGGGGCCAATGAGCTTTTATTTAAAAAATATTTTGACTTTATTTCAATATAATTGGCTCTCTTTGTAATTATATGTATTTTCCATTATTCTGAGAAGGGCTTCACCAAACTACCAAAGAGTTTCATGACATTAAAAAAATAGGCCTAGACAAAGTCTTCTAAGAAATTTGAGGAAAGAGAGATCATTTTCATCTGTGCAAGTTATAAAAGGCTTCATTGAGAAGGTGGGATTTGAGTTGAACCTTGAAAGTAAGATTGAGGGGCAACTAGGTGGCCTAGTGGATAGAGCACTGGCCCTGGAGTCAGGAGGACCCGAGTTCAAATCTGGCCTCAGACACATAACACTCAGTGGCTGTGTGACTCTGGGCAAGTCATTTAACCTCAATTGCTTCACCCAAAAAAAAAAAAGTAAGACTGGACTGCACAAATGGAAGAGAAGAAGTTCATTACAAACATGAGATATGAACAAAGCTTCAGAGACAAGAAAGGGAAGGTAAAGAATGAGGGCAAGGCAGAGATCTGTCCTGCTTGGATAAAATATAGAGTATGTAAAGGGGAGTAATTTGGGTTGGATGTATCAGTGGGCACCAGATTATAGAAGGCTTTGAATGCTAGCATAGGAGTTAATATTTTATTCAGGAGGCAATGGGATGTCACTGAAAGGTTCTGAGTAGAGAACTGATGTGCTCAGAGCAATGCATTAAAGTTATATGGGCAGAAAATAGATATTAGAGAAGAAAATGGAGGAAAACCAGTCAGGAGGCTATTGCTGCAGTTTACATGAGATAATATAAGGGCCTGAGGTAGGTCAGATGGATGCAGTGAGAGTGGACAGAAGTGAATAGGAGAGATAACATGAAAGCACTAATGCCAAGTAAATCAGTAGATGTGTGGCAAGAGAAAGGGAAAACCCAAGATGACTTCAAGGTTATGAACCAGGGTAGTGGGAGGATGGTGGTGCCATTAACAGAAAGGGAGTTTAGCTGGCTAAAACATGAATACATTTTCTCACTCTTAAAACCTTGGTCTTCTCATCTCTTCAAGAGTTGGATCAAATTATCTTTGTGTTCCTTCCCAGCTCTAAGTTCTAAAATAAAAAATTAAGCTTTAGAATCTAGAAGAGCAGTCTTCAGCTGTCCTTTCTGGTCCCTAAGCATCCCTGGGTCACCCACCAATCATGGGTTGGTTTCAGTGTTAGCTTGCCTTAAAATACAGATCCAGGAGACTTGTTCTAAGTAGGACTCGTGGGCTATTGGATCTGCTCTAAGTCTTCCTAGTCCAGCCAAGGCCTTCATAACTTAGTAGCAAAGGAGGAGGTGACACATCTTGATAGTATAGTATACCTTTGAATTAGGTGGGGCTAGAAACCTTATAACCCAAGGCCTTGGCTGTCCCCAACCTGTATTTTACTGAATACAATGTGACCTAGACAATATGAGATCACAGATTTTTAAAAGCTTATCAGGTGTTACTGTCTACATTAGATTCACATAATTTTTTAAAAGCTCAAGAGAAAGGACTGGTTCTTTCAGGAAACTAAATAATTTAAAAGATATACAGTTCACAAACTGGTCTAGCCTGAATACAAAGATCAGCATCCTCTTCTTTGGACCCATCAAGTTATCTATTCTAGATGTACAATCTACATTTAAAATTGCTAACAGTATTTCTCTTAAAATGGCAAGGACTGAGTTAATTTTCCTACTTGTTTGATTATATTGGGTAATTATTTTATAATAATTGTATATTATTATAATTTATAATAATGCAAATATTACAACTGACTGCTCTGCAATCACTTTCTTTTTCACATTTATTTATTTTATTTTTAATTTATGGAATAAAACAAGAACTTCCATAATATAATAAAAATATGATCGACTTGAAACTGTAAATCTTTTTTTATATACAACTTGCTATTCTTTTTAAATACATAATAAAGTTGTCATGTAAATTTATTTTTTTCCCTTTTTTCCTTCCTTCCTCCCCTACTTCCTTCCCTACTCCTCTAGAGTAGCCACTCTAAAGATTGCTACCATTGGACACAGATATATATGTAAAGTTATTGTGTACAAATGTTTAGTTATTAGTTATTTCTCTGTATGCAGATGGCATCTTTCTATGTAATAGCAATATTGTTTTAATAATGACATTGAGTGAATAAGCCATCTTGAGTATTATGATAAATATTTGAATTAACTGCAATCACTTACTACTTCAAGCATTGTTTAATGGGCTAGAAAATTGGCAATATCTGTCTACACAACAATATTATTGTGCCAGTTTCCCCTGGCTGAAACATCTTCTTTTCTATTTTGGTTCGTGTGAGATGCCGTGTTTGTTTGTTTGAACAATTTAGATAATTCTAGATTTTTGTGTGTGCTCAACTGGCTTCTGGGGTTATTGGCTTCTTGAGATAAAGGAGGAGAGTCCCTAACAATGGGAGAAAGAAAGCTTGAGAACAGTTATTCTGTTCTCTAATTCTCTCTCTCTCTCTCTCTCTCTCTCTCTCTCTCTCTCTCTCTCTCTCTCTCTCTCTCTCTTTTATTTCCACACAACCAGAAAACATTTTTTAGGAAAGTGAAAGCCTAATCCAGTGGGTCCAATCTGGTTCAGTTGGCCACATTAGAGAAACTATATGGCTTATGTATATAGAACTTGGCCTTGAGTTGAGCTCCAAGTGATTAGATGTAAAACTCAGCCAGTCCCCAAGATGCAAATTAGTTGTGTTTCACAAATCCATTTCTTAGTAGAACTGAGTACATTTAAACACAGAAATTTTATATTTTATAATAGAAAAATCATAAATGGTGATTACCTTGCTGGTTCTGTCATATTCTATCAGGAGAGAACAGTTTCAAGTAAAGGTTCCAAGCTTTGTGTACCTGCAATTCAAAGACTAATGTAGCTAAGTTTAGAGATCCATGATCAGCAGGATGGCTATTAGATAATGACTTGGGTGGGGAGGATGGGGTAGCAAGGACATTCATGAAACCATCTAATGAAATCACAGGTGTTCTTAGAAATTAAAGTTAAAGTATATATCCAGGCTAGCCCACAAAGGCCTGTTCAATCTATAATGTAGTAGATCGAACCTGTTAATAGTATTAATCTGAGCTCTATGTCCAGGACTAATGAAGGGAGAGAAAAAATAAATTTCCTCCTCTTTTGTAGGTGAAGCCTTTGACAAAAATATTAGGATTAGTAAATTTTGTTTCTGGCATCCTCACATTTCCCTTTTTATACCTCTCTCCAAATTCTGAGTACCTTCTTCTCAGAGCCCCAGTTTCCCAGCATTGCCCTCACATAGCCACCCAGGGCTTGCTTAGCCCACAAAGTGGCCCATGCTCCAAAATCATCTACCCCACTTGCTTCCTGAATCAAATGTCCTATACTTTTAGTTCAGACATCACCACTAGATCAAAACAAAAATAATAACATATTTTGTGGTGATTTAAAGTTTTCAAAGTGCTTTCTATAGATGATCTCATTTTATACTTAAAAATAAATCATGTTGAGGTAAGTACTAGAGAGACTGCCATTTTGTGAATTTCAATTGGAAAAGCTGTCATCATGCTTCTACTAAAGTCCAGGGCTGAGCACTGGGTGGACAAAGAAAAAAATCTGAATCCTTGCTTTCAAGGAGCCCACATTCTAAGGCTCAGAGACATTAAATGGCTTGCTCATGGTCATGCAACTTTCAAGCTCCAGAAGTAGGATTCAAAGACAGATATAGATAGATATCTATATAGCTCTAACTCTCCATCTATCTATCTATCTATCTCTATCTATCTATCTATCTATCTATCTATCTATCTACCTCTCTCTATAGCTATATCCATTCAGTGCCTTTTCTTACATACTGTGCTGCCTCTGCAACATGACTAAACAAATTTATGCATAGTATGACTGCCTAATAGCCCATGGACTCCCTTAGAGGTTTTTGAAAGATGATACTATGATTTACCCAAATAAATACCTAATTGGTTAAACTTCCTTAGCAAGTAGGAATGGAGTATATGCTGATAAACCTTGCCAACTAGTTCTTGAATTATACATAGCTAGTTCATTTCCAGGCCACAATCAAACCCTTTTCACCCAGCATAGCCTTCTGGAATAAAGGGTTAGTTTTATAGTATGATGAGATACTGGAGCAGGAATTTAGCAGGAGAAGTGAAATTTTTTTTTATTACTCTAGGAAATAACAGACAGATTTTATTTGAGTTATATTTGTCTGAGATGAAAAGCTTACCTCTAGTGACTTTTCAGTTTGTTTTTCTCATTTTCCTTATTTTTGATCAGTTTCTTTCCTATGGTTTAAAAACACAGACTAATTGTTTAGGTCCCTTACAAAGGACCCAGAAACTACCTCAGCTATCAAATGCTTTGTCTTCTTGTCAAGGAGAGAGATATAACAGGTAACGGCCATACACTAGGATAGAATATAAATTCAAGTAAAAAATCATATAGGAGAAGAGAGTGGAAGCTAATGACCAGCAGCATCTCATAAAACTTTAAGAATCAAGGGTGAGAAAAATAAATTTACAGAAAGCTTGGCAAGAATGAGAACCCAGTAAAGTCATTTCATCCTGAGGGCATCTAAGGATGAAACTGGAAGAAAAATGACAAATAGATAAGATATGGAAGAGAAAAAAAAATGTCTTCCAAGATTTCTGTAACAAACTATTTTCCCCATCAATGTGACAAGTGAAGCTACCACATTTGGACTCTAACATTACAGAACCTGATGGATTATATGAGGAAACAGAAATAGTACCAAAGATGGGAAAATGAACTTGAGTAGACAAGTGGGTCATGCAGAGGCAGCATGATTTTGAGGGGAATGAGATGTTGTGATTGAAGATACCTGAAAGAAGAGAGGATACCAAAGGCATTACCACAGGGAAAAAGAGATGGTTATCAAAAATATATAAATAGCTAGCAGCCATATGTCTTCTTTATAATCTCCACAAAAATCCTTGTAAAACAATCTATATACATGTCAAAGAGGTTCTTTATAAAGTTATTAGATAGGAGGAGGCAGGATTTTCAATTATAGTCTATAGCATTACATCTTTATAGTCACAGAACTGACTGATAGGTGAAGAGAATGCAAGATCCCACTGTTTGCTGACTTAAAAAAATTAATTCCATAGTGCAAAATGACACCTTAAAAGCTCTTCTTCCATAAAATGTTTCCCATGCCTATGTTAAAATCATAAAAGATATTTTGAAAAATACAACAGAGATGAATTTGATGACACGGTGATTAGAAATCTCAATCAAAGCATAAAATAGGGAGTGGTATGAGCTACATAGGTGGCAGGGGTTTATAGAAGCTCCAGTCTGTGGATGACTATGTGATGATTGCACTGAGCTCTAGAATACTGTGAAGCCTTGTACATGAGATTTATAATTATCTGCAAGAATTTGCCCTAATCATCCACGTGTGAAAATCTAAGTAGATGCACACCTACTGTCAAGACTACAGTTCAGCGTGTGTGTATCTGCATGTCTGTGTGTTTGTGTATGTATAAACAGACACAACACATAAAAATTAATTGGACTGAGAGCATGGCATAATAGATAGAGTGCTTTATTTATAACCAGGGACACCTGAATTCAAATTCTTCCTCTAACTCAGTTGTGGTGGGTAGGACCATAGGCAAGTGGCTTAGCCTTTGCTTTAGTTTCTCTATTTGTAAAATGTGGATAATACTAGCAATGCTACTTACATCCCAGACTAGTTTCAAAGTTCAAATGAATTATTATTATTATTATTATACTTTAAAGTGCTTTATTAATACTAGTCCTCATAATATAAGAATAGGTTGAACTGAACCTGGGAAATTCCACCATGTTTAATGGATCCAATCTTATCCCTATATGGTCACAAAGAACAGAATTCTAGTCTTCCAAATGTAAGTCACTCAGAGCACAATAGAGAGAGATAGAGAAGACGTGTATAGATTGTAGCATATTTCTAATGAAAAACTTGTACAGGAGAAGTATCAAAAAGTAATGTATAGGATAAATATATCTAGATATGGACATGGGCCAGTTATGAAACAAAGTAAAGGGCAACAAACAGATAAAGAGGTGGTATTGTCCCACTGTCTTCAGTAAGTTAAATAGAACCTTTTAGAAGATTTATGGGAGGGGAGATGCAAGGGTGGAATTGAATTAAAAGTCATGGATGGGTTGTGATACAGAACTCACATCAATAACAATAGAGACCTACTGAATTGTCAAGATGATTGTTCCTTATCATAGATAATATAGATTACAAAGTAAATGACAGAATTTTGGAACCTAAAGGAGTTGTGTAGATCATCTAATTCAAACCTTTCATTTTATAGTTGAGATAAATGAAACAGAAAACTCAAGTGACTAGACCATTGGCTACACAGCCAGGAGAGCCAGACCTAGAATTTGAATATATTGACTCCTGGTCTAGAGCTCTGGCCTCTCTAAATGCTGGCTCAGAAAAAAAAAACTATCAAGGCAGAATTGTCACTTCAAACCCTATTTTTGTGATAATCCCGGTTTCTCTCAAGGAATGTGATGACATTCTCCCCCAAATTCTCAAAGCAGAACGAAATTTAATTTGAGATGTATATGTGTATGTATGTAAAATGTATTTTAGAAAGAGGGATGTGCTCACTCAAACAAGTTAAATATATAAAAGATGCTACATGAGTTTACAAAGAATGGCCATCATCAGGTTAATCTGATTTTATTTCTTGAAGCCATTGGGGGTTAAATGATTCAGGATCACACAGCTAGTGTCTGAGGCAGGATTTGAACTCAAGTCTTCCTGACTCAAGACCAGTGCTCTCTCCACTGCGCCATCTAGATGCCCCATATTTATCTATTTTAAATCTCAAGTTTATGAGAAATAGACAATGGTCCATGGGAAAGAGTGCATGAATGCAATACATTAATTAATTAATGCATTCACAGTAACATTCCCAATTTTTTAATGAATCTAGATGGCTGGGTTGGATTCTTGAATTGTAAATCATGAAAGATGAATAAGTTGATATCTTCAAATGAGTTTTCAAAGAAATAGCACCTTAGCAACCTATATCTCAGAAAGTAAGTTCCTTGAGGGCAAGAACTGTTTATTCTTTGTATTTTCAATGACTAGAAAGTGCAGACACATAGTAAATGTTTACTAACTGCTTGGTATTTACTGAATTCCCCAAATAGCATATCAATCTCACAGAATCATAGCATCATGTCAGCAATGGAGGGACATTGAAGAATGAATACCAAAAATACAAGCTTTTAAGAAATTCTTGGAGCAGCTAGGTGGCACAGTGGATAGGGCACTGGCCCAGGTGTCAGGAAGACTTGAGCTCAAATCTAGCCTCAGGTGCTTACTAGGTGTTATGATCCTGGGCAAGTCATTTAACCCCAATTGTGTCCAAAAAAATTAAAAAAAAGAAATGATTCCTGTTTTTCTAAATAGAACCTCCTATCACCTTGATACAATATCCTAGAATAAGTCCCAGAGCAAGGATGCCTCTCTGATCAGTATTTCTATAGAGCCTCTTTCTCAATTGTAGATTCTAAAGTCGGTATACAAGTCAGAGCTCTGTCAGGAGGAGCTGTCAGGAAATCAGTAAGCAGAGAATTTTCCAGTCTATGTGACCTTGCAGAAGTCATTGAAATTTTCTGTACCTGTTTCCCAAACTTCAAAATAGAGATTACTATTAATCTCTGAGCAAATCATGATGAGAAATGACATAAAGTAGTCTAACTTTATCAATTGTTCCCATAATGAAATTACTTAAGTGCTTTCTAAAAGAGAACAGGTAGGTGGAAGCCTTCCAGCTCATATGAAATGAACATTTGATTCTTTCCGCATGGCTTTGCAAAT